TTAAATGGTGTTTGATTCTGTGCCAGAGGAGTGGTGGAGAAAACAGAATTCATTAGGAATTGAGAAGACTGGGTAAGTCTGTGGGCAGAGACGTTCAAAGAGAAGATAAAGCCATTGAGGTTAGATGAGGGTTAGATACAGAAAGAGAATGGCCAGAACAGAGCTTACTGAAGCAATTAGGTTCTTTTGGCCCAAAGTATGTATAGGACATATTTTAGACAGATTTAACATTTTTTCCTGGCTTACCAGGTCTTCCCTTAGCCTAAACTGCGTCACTAGAAATTGGAAGCACTTGATACATACTTTGTACAGTTGTGTTTAGAAATAAGGGCAATTTCTGTTTTGGCCATCCCATATTGAATTGGGTACCTTATGGAAACATTCTTCTGTTTACTTATTTTTTTACTTCTCTCAGTGGTTGTCATAAATGCTGGAATGCTTTCCTCTGTAGGGAAGGAAAATGTAATTTTACATCTACCCTTGTGAGTTCTTGGCTGAGACTCCTATAATAAAAAACAGACTAACTAGAGAAAAGCAGTTTGTTAACACGTATACCTCATGTGCATGTGGGAGATGCACTCAGTATTCCAGAGAGTAGTGAGTAACTCAGAGTAGTGGCTTAGAACTCGGGCTTACAGGCAGCTTCAGCTAAAGACGAAAGAAAGGTAGGTGTGGCTAGGCCAGTAATGGGGAGGTTAGCAGGAGAAGCACAGTAAACATGGGTAAGGTTTTTTATATCTAAGTCTGAGCTTTCATAAAAATTTCTTGTGATTTAGGAGAAGGTAATGGCAACCACCCAGATAATCACAATGGTGTGATCACTCACCTAGAGCCAGACATCCTAGAATGTGAAGTCAAGTGGGCCTTAGAAAGCATCACTACAAACAAAGCTAGTGGAGGTGATGGAATTCCAGTTGAGCTATTTCAAATCCTGAAAGATGATGCTGTGAAAGTGCTGCACTCAATATGCTAGCAAATATGGAAAACTCAGCAGTGGCCACAGGATTGGAAAAGGTCAGTTTTCATTGCAATCCCTAAGAAAGGCAATCCCAAAGAATGCTCAAACTACTGCACAATTGCACTCATCTCACACGCTAGTAAAGTAATGCTCAAAATTCTCCAAGCCAGGCTTCAGCAATATGTGAACCGAGAACTTCCAGATGTTCAGGCTGGATTTAGAAAAGGCAGAGGAACCAGAGATCAAATTTCCAACATCCACTGGATCATCGAAAAAGCAAAAGAGTTCCAGAACAACATCTATTTGTGTTTTATTGACTATGCCAAAGTCTTCGACTATGTGGATCACAATAAACTGTGGAAAATTCTGAAGGAGATGGGAATACCAGACCACCTGACCTGCCTCTTGAGAAACCTGTATGCAAGTCAGGAAGCAACAGTGAGAACTGGACATGGAGCAACAGACTGGTTCCAAATAGGAAAAGGAGTACGTCAAAGCTGTATATTGTCACCCTGCTTATTTAACTTCTATGCAGAGTACATCATGAGAAATGCTGGGCTGGAAGAAGCACAAGCTGGAATCAAGATTGCTGGGAGAAATATCAATAACCTCAGATATGCAGATGATACCACCCTTATGGCAGAAAGTGAAGAAGAACTAAAGAGCCTCTTGATGAAAGTGAAAGAGGAGAGTGAAAAAGTTGGCTTAAAGCTCAACATTCAGAAAACTAAGATCGTGGCATCTGGTCCCATCACCTCATGGGAAATAGATGGGGAGACAGTGGAAACAGTGTCAGACTTAATTTTGGGGGGCTCCAAAATCACTTCAGATGGTGACTGCAGCCATGAAATTAAAAGACACTTACTCCTTGGAAGGAAAGTTATGCCCAACCTAGATAGCATATTAAAGAGCAGAGACATTACTTTGCCATCAAAGGTCTGTCTGGTCAAGGCTATGGTTTTTCCAGTGGTCATGTATGGATGTGAGAGTTGAACTGTGAAGAAAGCTGAGTGCCGAAAAATTGATGCTTTTGAGCTGTGGTATTGGAGAAGACTCTTGAGAGTCCCTTGGACTGCAAGGAGATCCAACCAGTCCATCCTAAAGGAGATCAGCCCTGGGTGTTCATTGGAAGGACTGATGCTGAAGCTGGAACTCTAATACTTTGGCCATTTCATGCTAAGAGCTGACTCATTGGAAAAGACCCTGATGCTGGGAGGAATTGGGGGCAGGAGGAGAAGGGGACGACAGAGGATGAGATGGCTGGATGGCATCACTGACTCAATGGACATGAGTTTCAGTAAACTCTGGGAGTTTGTGATGGACAGGGAGGCCTGGCGTGCTGCGATTCATGGGGTTGCAAAGAGTCAGACACGACTGAGCAACTGAACTGAACTGAACTTAATGGCAACCCACTCCAGTATTCTTGCCTGGAGAATCCCAGGCTCCCAGAGGAGCCTGGTGGGCTGCCGTCTATGGGGTTGCACAGAGTTGGACATGACTGAAGTGACTTAGCAGCAGCAGCAGCAGTCATTCTTCTCTTCCTCATACAGAGATACCCTTAGAAATGGATGTTTATTTCCCTTACAAAAGGGTCACTTCTACTCTGTTTTCAGAGCTTCTCCTTTTCTCAGAAATAATCAGCTCAAGATCATCCTTATGCCAAAGGCTATTTTGGGGTGGCATATTCTGCTACCCTTCCCCCGCTTCTTTCAAGTTTTTGCCCAGATGTCACTTCCTCAGTGAGGCTTACCACATCCACCTGTTTAAAATTACAGTGGCTCAACCCACAAACACCCTCCATTTGTTTTACTCTGGTCCCCTGCCCCTGCCAGGAGCACGTATCCTCTTTTGTCATATTGTGTAATTGACTGACTTCGTATTTATCTTGCTCACCAGAAGTTATGGTTTGCTGGGATTTTTGCCTGGACACAGCTGTACCTGTCACATAATTGAATGCTCAATAAATAGCTGTTAGATGAATGAAGATCCTAAGACTGCTTTTACTTTTGGGCTATTATCTTTCAAATTCTTGGGCCCTATCCCAGACCTCTTGAATCAGAAACTCTGGGGATGTGGATCCATCTACTTTGTCTTAACTAGACCTCCAGGTCACTCTGATGTAAATTATAGTTTTAAGAACCACTCAGTAAGGTTTCAGGAGCTAGGTCTGTTGCTTACAGGTGTGGATGTGTAGGTCTATACTTGAGGTAACTTGACAAGTATAACTGAATACAAATCCAGAGAGACAAAGAGAATACAAATAAAGAGAACAATCTCTTTTTGGACTTCTCTTTCTCTTCCTCCTGTTGCCTTTTCCTGAGGAGGTAGCACAAGGAAAGAGGCTATCAGCTGTCGTAACTTTCTGTTGATTTATCAAGCAAAAAGTGTCCCCAAGACTGCTTTGCTGTTGTTTAGTCCCTAAGTCATGTCCGACTCTCTGTGACCCCCATGGACTCCTGCACACCCCACTTCTTTGTCCTTCACCATCTCCCAGAGCTTGCTTAAACTCATGTCCATTGAGTCAGTGATGCCATCCAACCATCTCATCCTCTGTTGTCCTCTTCTCCTGGCCTCAGTCTTTCTCAGTACCAGGGTCTTTTCCAGTGAGTTGGCTCTTTGCATCAGGTGGCCGAAGTATTGGAGCTTCAGCTTCAGCATCAGTCCTTCCAGTGAATATTCAGGGTTGATCTCCTTTGGGATTGACTGGTTTGATCTCCTTGCAGTCCAAGACTACTGTAGATTCCAGTAATACAGGAGGAGGCACTGGACTCCGCAGGCAGTCACAACTCATACTCATGGCTAACATTCGTTACAGCAGAAAGGTACGAGACAGGCAGCCAGGGAAGAAAGCACACAGGGCATTGTCTAGAGGAAACCAAGAGAAAGCTGCAGAGAGTCCCCTCCCAGTGGAGTCAAACAGGCCTTACTTAATTCCTCTAGCATCAAACACTAACAAGTATGAAGTGTTATGGTATTCCCCTGGTGACTCAGGGGTAAAGAATCCACCTGCCGATACAGAAGACACAGGTTCGAGCCTAGGGTCAGGGAAGATCCCCTGGAGAAGGAAGTGGCAACCCACTCCAGTCTTCATGCCTGGGAAATCCCGTGGGCAGAGGAGCCCGGCCAGATACAGCCCATGGGGTCGCAAAGAGTTGGATACAGTGGCTAAACAACAACAACGTGAAGTGTTTATCTCCGAGGGAGGCTCATTTGGAGACATAGTCTTCTGATGTTTACTGGGTACTGTCATGTAGGCACCCTCTTGTCTAGCAGATACCAAAATTCCAGACTCCCAGAAGAAAAGCAGTTCAGCACAAACCACATTTTACAAACAGTTTAGGCACAGCAAGCCATTCTTAACCAGTTAGAGTGGTAGGAACCCTCCTGAAATCCAAACTCCCAGATGCCCACCAGAGACCAACCTTGCAAGCCAGTCTGAGGCTGCTAATTCTTAGAAAGACCTGCTTGCAGGGTGGGCCCTTGGCCGGCATCTGGGAACTCAAAGTTCCAGAGAGTTCCTCCCACCCTGACTGGTAGGGATGGCTCACTGAGGCTTACAGGTGGGGGTATATAAACTCTTTTCTGCTATGTTCACTGTTTCTTTATGTTATCCAAAAAAAGTTTGTTTTTTCTTTTTTATGTAGAACATAAAGCAATTAGACTTCTCTCTTCTTGGGAAATTTAGTAATAAAATGTTGTGAGAATGACTTGGACAGTTTAAGTGGATTGAGTAAGTGAGTTTATTCACTTAGACATATTTTCTTAAAAATGCCTTGGCAGTATTATTCAGTTTAGTAATTACATAAGTGATTTATGTCATAGTAATATTTTAAAATGTATTCCAAATGATACAAAAATTAAAAAAGCTTTCTTACTGTTCATTTGAAAAATAGCACCTATGGATGTTACCGTCTGTTTCAAAGTGGAGAGTTGATTTTTCTTCACGTCTGCCTTTTCGTCTTCCAGAGGGCCAATGTGATAGCTTGCCATCTTTGGGTTTGCTTTTGTGAATAGCCAGTCTTCTTTCTTTCTTTTTTTATAGGTCAAGATGCTGAGTTATCAGGGACACTTTCACTTGTCTTGACACAGTGCTGTAAGAGAATAAAGGATACTGTTCAGAAGTTGGCCTCTGACCACAAAGACATCCACAGCAGCGTTTCTCGGGTTGGAAAAGCCATTGATAAGGTATGGTGTTGTCGGGAGTGTTTGGTATGTTCTAGCATCATCCACCGTTTCCCATGACTGCTTTCATCACATTAGCTTTCTCATTGTTTATACTGTTTCTTTCATCCTTGCTTTTAGTAATATGGTGTTACTATGCTCCTCTTAAAGTTCCGTATTGCTGTTATTCCAAAAAACAAGAGTAAAAGCAAACAAAAACCCTTCTCTCTTTATAGCCTTTTTTTTTTTAAAACCCATTTTCTTGTGTGATGGATGACCACTCCTAGTGTCAAGGTGAGTCAGTTTCCAAATTTTTAACTTACTCTGAGGGAGTTTGTTTATAGAAGTAACTTTTCCTACTTCCTGAGTAATTCCCAGGGTGTGACTTGGCCTCTGTTATGGGATGATTGGAGTAACAAAGCTTGCGTCTGTCTGCCCTGCGTCATCCTACTCTCCTTGTCTTCCTGTGTGCTTGCTGGTCACTTTGCTTCAGTGTTGTTTGCCCTGTGAGTGGGTTGGTTGCTAGCCAGCAGAGCCGGCCACTTGAGTTGAGTGATTTTCTTATGACATCTCTTAAATCTTTGACTTGGAGGTTTGCTTATAAGCAGTTACCATTTTTAGCACTGGGGCAGTTTTGCCCTTGGAGTTCTTAGTCTTAGTAGAGCCCAAGAGAAGTGGCTTAAGGTTACTGTGTGATACCTAGGAATGTTTCAGCTATTGGGGAGTGTGTGACTGGTTGTGGACATTTTTGTTCACATGTTGTAAACTTCTGGGAGAGTAGGAAGAAATTTTGAGGAGAGCTTTTTGTAGCAAAACATGTCTTATGAGCTGCTCCATCTGTATGCATGAGGACAGTAGCTGTAACATGGAAACTCGTGGAATCCTGAGAATGGCTGTTAACTCATGCACAAACCTAACTGTTAGAAATAATCTGACAAAGTGGTAGTGTTGGCCGGCTAGACTCAAGGCAGCCCGAGTGAGAACTGTAACATGGATGCTTTTAAGGAAGTATTGCTAACTTGTAGGTACGGTATGACAGGACTGAATGGCTGGGGCTCTACAGATGGTGTGGGTAGCTGGGCCTTCAGAGGTGTTAGTGACCTTTGGGAGAGCTCTCACTGCTCCCAGTGTGCTGAGGGCTTTGACTCAGCGAAAGAGGCCAGAGAAGTGGTGTTGGCTGCAGCGGCCCCATTTTTGGATTTGTGATGGCAGTTGCCAGCAGAGGCTGGAAGGCAGTGAGTGTCCTCTGAAATAGCTCCGAGGTTGAGGGGGCTGCCTGTTAACTCTGAGGATGCAAGCAGAGCTCTGGAAGTGGCTTCGGCTGCAGACGTTTTGGAGACTGTGGCGTCGGATGTCTTCAGTTGGTGCCTGATGTGATTATTGCTGTGTACTGACTCAAGGCCCTTCTGGAAGAGTGGGGTTGGGGGTGCTTTAGAGATGATCTTAAATCACTGTGAGTGAGGAACCCTCTGTGTCTAGGGTGAAGTAACTACTGGTGGTATTTAGGAAGCTTCAGATATTGGCGGCTGCCAGTGACCAAGGCATTCTAGTGATGGTTCAGACCCCAAGAGGTTCCTGGCAGTGAGCACTGGGCTACCCACAGTTATGACAGTGTGGGGACAGGCAGGATGAGAAGATGCCAGAACAGTGAGAGTAGCTGAAGCCTCCAAAGCAGCCAGTCAGAGAAAAGACCCCAGATTCTGGAATAGGTGGGGATGGCCTTGCAGTCATGCCTCGTGTGTGGTCTCCAAGATCTGGGATACGGGGCTTTGCATACTGCCACTGGTTGGGGCCATGTGTCCTCATTTCCTAGCTTATATCTTGTCTGATCAGTGTTAGTCCCTCCGTCTTGTCCGACTCTTTACAACCCCATGGACTGTAGCCCGCCAGGCTCCTCTGTCCATGGAATTCTCCAGGCAAGAATACTGGAGTGGGTTGCCATTCCCTTCTCCAGGGGATCTTCCTGACCCAGGGATTGAATCTGGGTCTCCTGCATTGCAGGTGGATTCTTTACTGTCTGAGCCCCCAGGGAAGCCAGTTATCATCAGAGCTCTCTTTTACTCTTGTCCCCCAGCCACTGGAGACTTGCTAAACATGTCTTCTTCCCGATGTGGCAAGTCTTTATACCTAATCGTAAGGGTTGTCATGTTTTGGCTCATTTTTGAGACAAAGCATTTAAATGTATTTGGTGCTGGAAATGGAAGTATCTATTTGAAAGTGGACGACAAGGGATCCACATAGTGAATAACAACCTACATTCTGACCTTTTTAGTGGGGAGGTAGTTGAGGTGAATATTGCTGATTAAATATTTTAATGTATTTCTCTTTTGAGTATATTTTTCATGTACTTGGAAGTTATAAAGGCTTTTACAGGTAGTTTTGGAGGGGGCGTAGTTTTATATGTTCCTGTGAAAATAGTTTAGGTTCTAGGTGACCTGGCTTCTAGATTCTTCTGATCTATCATGAAATGACGTCATTAAGTTGATCCTGGGGTAATTTGTTGAATTATAGTCCTGAGGCACAGTTGAAAGCTTGGATGTCTTAGTGGAGTTCTATAACATTTTTCAGTGTATTCTCTTTCCTTTTGTGGGGGTTAAGGGGCGGCATCTACTTAGCCTTAGCTGTAAAGGAAGCTGTTACCCCACTAGAACTACCTAGACCTTGTACATGAGCTTCTCGCGCACCTGAGGAATTCTATGTTGACTGATGTTGTCCATGATTCCATTGGTGTGTGAAGTCTTCCTGCCCTTCTAGCTTGCACCTCGTAAATTTGTGCAAGCTTCCGGGGCCACCTGTCACAAAGGCTGGGTGGACTCGTGCGTTGGCGAACAAACAGGATGAAGCTGAAGCCACTGTGGCTTAGGCCTTTAAGTATCACAGTAAACAACCTTGAGTAATAAACTGGAATGTCGTCCGGCAGCCTGTGAGCACCATGTTGTGGGCACATGTTCCCACCCTGCCGAGAGGAAGACAATAAGGAAGCTGGTGACTCGTATATGAGCAAGCTGGTTGTTGAGTGAGGAACTTGAGTGAATTTTTGACATGCTTAAAAAATTTATTTTTTCCTTTAATGTTTCAATGCTTCCTTTAAACTTTTTTAGTCATCACTTCCCTGAAAACGTATGCAGAAAAGTTTATGATGTTAGGCAAGACACTTTCTGGCTTTTAATTATTGCCAACATAAAAAATTATTTAAGATTTCTGCTTTAATGTGTTAACAGTTTTCAGATGTCTGTAGTATAATCACAATTTAAAATAAATATCAACCACTGGGTTCTGTAGCCAAAAAAATGTTTTGTTTTTTTCTTTTAGTAAAACCAAATGTGTTTTTTATTTCCTTCTCTATTTTTAAAAAAATCTAGAATCGTTTCCTATTTAGGATATTTTATTTAGTGTTTTACTTAGTCTTTTGACTTTTTTTAAGCTTAATTCCTAAGTAAGAAAAGTCAGTAAAAATAATTACTGCTTTAGACTTTTGTGTGTGGGTGGATGAAGTAATGCTAAGATTTAAGTAACATTTGCTGTGGGACAATTGAAAGCGAAAAACATTGTACATGTTCTTTAGGAAACTGTGGTGTGGTTCATTCGTGTAAGGGTGCTTTTTGTACATGTCAAAGAACTGGAAAGATTCTGAGGCAACATTAAGTTTGTTTAGGACAGACTTTCCTTACTAATAAAAAGTAAAGAGATAATCACTGAGTTCTTCATTAAGGTTGTGGAGTTTATATTTTATTTTATTTATTCATTCATTTATTTTTGGCTGCTCTGGGTCTTCGTTGCTGCGAGTGGCTTTCTCTAGTTGCAGCAAGTGGGGGCTACTCTTCATTGTGGTGGTTTCTCTGGTTTCAGAGCACGGACTCTTGGCACTCGGGCTTCGGTAGTTGCAGCATGCAGGCTCAGTAGTTGTGGCACGTGGGCTTAGTTGCTCTGAGGCATGTGGAATCTTCCCAGACCAGGGATTGAACCCGTATCCCCTGCATTGGCAGGCAGATTCCTGTCCACTGTGCCACCAGGGAAGTTCCATTTTGTTGTTTTTAATTTTTAAAAAATTGTTTATTTTTTTGGCCACCCCACAAGGCATATGGGATCTTAGTTCCCTGACCAGGGATTGAACCTTCGCCCCCCCCCCGCCCCCCGCCCCGCCCCGCCGCCCCGCCCCTGCTTTGGAAGGCAGCATCTTAACCACTGGATCACTGGGGAAGTCCCTGGAGTTGATATTTTTACATTTGACTTGTGAGAGTGGGTAAGATTTAGCACAGCAGAGCAGTGAGGTGTGGTCTTCTGTGGGGCCAGGAAAGGAACTGAACAGCTGAGAAAATGCTCAACTCCTGTTAAAGACTCTGAGGGACTGACTTGATGGGAGCGGCTGCCCCTGTCAGGCAAGATCAGGCTGGGGAAAAGGCAGTGATGGAAGGCCTAAAGATTTGATCCAAGGAGATTAGGGGAAAAAGGGCAGGAATGATAAAAAAACATTTGAGGATTTGCATACCCTCCTTAAATAGGATGAAATTAGACTAAGGAGAAGACAGAAAATATAGCTCTCACTACGGCGTATTGATCATGTTCCACACACTGAGCTGAGAGCATTACATACATTTAGAGGGCTTCCCAGGTGACGCTAGTATTAAAAGAATCCATCTGCCAATGCAGAAGACATAAGAAACTCCAGTTTGATCCCTGGATCGGGAAGATCCCCTGGAGGAAGGCATGGCAGCCCACTCCAGTATTCTTGTCTAGAAAATCCCATGGACAGAGGAGCCTGATGGGCTATAGGCCACAGGGTCGCAAGGAGTCGGACACGACTGAAGCGACTTAGCACGCACACACACGCATAGCCCATGATGTGTGTTAGTTGCTCAGTTGTGTCCGACTCTTTGCAACTGCATGGACTGTAGTCTGCCAGGCTCCTCTGTCCATGGAATTCTCCAGGCAAGAATACTGGACTGGGTTGCCATTTCCTTCTCCAGTAGCCCATGACACAAGCACATTATTCCCTTTTCACATGTGAGGAAATTAAGATTCAG